GAAATTGAATTCAAGTTACACGCCGAGTGATACGTTGTAATATATCACGTGATTCCCTTCATATCACCCCAGGTACGCGATGAATTGATATTATACATTCTGCACTTTTCAATTGTACAGTAGATTTGTGTATAATTTCCTAATGTGACCAGTCGGTCAGGCGTGCATTACCAAAGAAACCGATGACCGAGTTTTTGGAAAAGATCACTATATTTAGTTATATCACGCGTCTATACTTCTAACCATGCCTTCTTTTCCCAATAAGCGACACTTCTCTTCAGAATAGACCAGTTTCTAATTTCACTGTTTTTCTGTTGAATCAGACAGTTTCAGGTAGTTTGTCAAACTAAGAAATAAATGTTATAACAGGAATAAACAAATACACCCAGCAATGTGTTGCATAACTGAGGGTTCCTATAGGAACACAATCAGCTCGGTCCTATACCTGCACGACCGCGGTATACTGTTTGTTTGTCCTGTTTACGACTCTGCACATAACGCGAGATTTCACAAACAATATATGGTAGTTAATGGTTTTAGGTTAGATAGCAAACAGAGAATTCTATATATACACTTTCCGCTAACTTAAGCTACTTTATGTTTAGTTATTGTAGGCAATTAGACTTCAAATTGTATTTATAATTTCTCTTTTATCTTGTTTCTTTAACAGGTAACGACATTTTGCCTCAGTGTGAAGTTACTTTCCTCAAAGAGTAAAATTAAACGTATACTTTCATTACATTAGCCATGCATATAACACATTTAACAGTAATTTACGTTTTCGATGGTATTTGACAAAAAGGCTTTTTTATTAAATAAAAAATAAATAAAAATAAACTGCAATAAAACACCATATATAGTTGCAAGAAGACGTAATAACGAGAGTCACATTTCCAATAGAACACCTACAGAAAAATGACCCATATCCATCGAAACATCTGAAAAGTCCCAAACTGACCTTATAACTGAATTTAATTCGTAATTTACTCACGGTGCATCATGTTTCAACTTGAGGGTGTAATAGGCTCTGTGTAATATCGTCACGAACACAGCGTGTCTATATTTAGATTTATTCATTCATTTATAAAGAGAAGTTTATTACTCTGTTGAATTGCCAGTAGAACAGAATTAATGAAAAACAATGTTTCTCTCTATAGTGTAAAACAAACTTTGAAAACATTGTGCGTGACATTTGTGCGAGCTTCTGCTACGGGAAATCTGGTATAATAGGCTATTAACGTTTATCTCTAGAGAAGGCGTGACAGCAAAAGAATTTGACTACGTACAAACTAGTGCCTAACTGAAATTTAAAATGCCACGGCGTTCCTGTGTGTGGGGAATTTGATATCAACTTTAAAATAACCTTTATTTTTCTTTATGTTATTTTATTCTATTGTGGGGCAATTGTACTAATAAATTTACAGTAGAGCTTGACCCATTCTTGGGTATCTGAATGGGGTGTCTTTATCTGCTTAATGTCAATTCAAAAAAAAATTGTCCTGTACTCCTGATGGTAAGCATGGGTATGTATATTAATAACGTTAAGGTTGCTGAATTAGCTATGCCAATTACCAGCAGCAGGGGTACAGAGCAAATAATGCATCTTACCATATTCAGAAAGTATGTCATAAGGGTATCACGTAATATAACAATCCTCCGAGTTGGGAATTAGCATTACGCAATTCTAGTCATAAATACGTGATAACTTATCATAGTGCCAAGAATAACGTTATACTTGCTGTAAGGCTCCTATATTATTGGTTTATATATTATTTGAGAAGACGTTAATACGGTTAGCTGACTGTTAATGGTTCATAATTGGTTAATCATTTGAATTTAATGAAATTTCATAGTACAATGCAAACGTGAACCAATCATTGCACACATGTAATAAGCTATATTACTGAGCAAGTAGTCAATTTAACAATTATTGTATTGAATGGATGCTACACACACACAGATGACGAGCAATTGAATACTTGGAGTATATATTGTTGTGACTGAA